AGTAATATCCCTGATGAATATTTTAAGATTCTCCCAGATTCGATCAAAGTGGTTTGGAGTACACAATCTATAAACTGGTTTTGTCCTGCACTTTGGACTCATGCCAGAGGAGCTGTGGGGCTGTGCCATGGGCGTAACTATGTGCTGAACATTGGGGGGGGGTCAAGATCTCTGTCTAAATAAATAAATAAATCTGGGTAAATTCCCAGATTATTAAACATGCAACTATTTTTCTGGTAATAATGGAAATGAGTAAAGAGAATCAACAGCCTATTTATGCAAGATAATTCATAATTTTATTGGGGGAGTTATATTGGCTGGGTCTGATTATTGGGGGGTCATAACCTCCCTAACCCCCCTGGAAATTACACCTCTGGGTTGCTGACATTACAGTGTGGAGCTCTTTCTGACTCTTCTAATGCATTTGAACTTCCTTAACCAGTTGATACAAGTCACCATTCATTGTCATGTTAACATAGTGAGTAGTCCATAAATACAACTTTTCATCTGTTTTGAGGTTCTGAAGTCCTTTTGCATTTCGCTGTCCTGCAGACAATCAGTCATGTGCAACAGTCAGCTGTAGGAGCAGAGGTACAGCCAGGTGTAAACTTACATGTGAACTCGAGCCTGCTTAATCTTCCCAGCTGTATTCAGGGAATGTTACATTAATGTATTACGATGTGAACATGAATCTACCGCACACAAGCCTTGTTGGAGACGACTGGATAATTGCAAACCATCTTGCCTGAGTTACATAACAAACATGCTTTATGGTTAATTACAGGGTTTGAAATGTTCATCGCAATTTGCATCTGTGCAGAATAAAATAACAGTTTTGCTCTACAGGAGACACCAGTGGAGGTGCCAGCGCTTGTTGTAGAAGTGCAGGTAAATGAAAGGCAACTTCTCACTCTTGGGGCTTTGTACTCTTTTAGAGAGTGGAATGGTCTTTTGAGCCTCTGATTACACCATGTACCCTCTTCCAAAGCTGTTTTTGTATGTAAAGATTCATTTCTATTTGCTTAGATTCAAAATGAGGTTGAACCTCAGGAGGCAGCAGCAGTGGGGGAAGAGCCTGTTGTAGAAGTGCAGGTAAATGAGCAAGAAGTGCTTAGGAATATTAATTCCTGATTTTCTTCACTATGCAGGCACCTCTGCAATAATGTTGCCACACTTATATGGTACCATAACATTTCCCACATTTACTCTTTGTAATTCATCCATTTTTTTTAAATAATTGTATCGCATCACATCCCAAACTGTACAGATTAAACAACCCCCATTATGGCACAAAATGAGTACGATATAAGATTTAATGACTATCACTATTTACGCTCTTCCAATTCAGGATATAACAAATAACTCTCCCTTTTCTGTAGATAAAGGAAGAGGTACCACAACCAGTGGTAGAAACTGAGGTAAATTAGTGGTGTTTAATGTTCTGGGAAAGCTTTTTTTCTTTTCTTATGTTTCTTTTAATAGTTAGGGGAGATGAGTGGCTATAAAATAACCATATGAGTCACATTGATAATCACACTATGTGTGAGGCCAAAGTACCAAGATGGCTGACGGAGCTTTAGCAGAAAGACTACAAGTACGAGGAAGCAGCCTTGCAGCCTTGCACTGTTCAACTGTGACACAATCAACCCAGATATCTGGGGTTATGTGACTCTTCTTTTCTTACTTTCTTGAAGAATTAAAGTTTTCCCAAAATGTTTAACTAGCTGTTTCTTTAAAAGTGGACATCTTTGAAATGTAAAGTGAATATTGATGGGCTTTACCTTTTTCCTCTTTCTTCCTCTTTACAGATTTTGGCTTTTGCGCTTGACAATGTGGGCTTCCTCACTAGTTCTTATCTTGATCTGATTATACGCTGTCTCTCTACTCTGATCACAGATATCTTTTTACTGCTTTACCTCCTCTTTCATGTCACAGATGGAAGCTCCTACTCTCACTCTGTCACCTAAATCGATGAGCATCCCTTTGATTTTTTTCCCTTTTTTTTTTAGTAAATATTCATGATACATATTTTTCTTTTTCCTGCTTTGGTTAAAGACGGTGGATTCCTCAAAAGCTGGCACCCAGGAGGCTGCTGCAAAACCAGAGCCGCCGCCACCTGCTCAGGAAGAAAAGAAAAGCGCCTCAAAATCCCCATTCCTTTCTTTCTTCAAGCCCCAAGTAAGAACCTATTCCCATAAACATTTATAAGATCTCTGAAAAGAAACAACTCTGAAATACATTAGGTATGAATTGTGGTGAAATTACAGAATGGTAAGTAACAGGTTAATGTGAATTTGAGGTGCTATTAGATCACATGACCACAAAAGTCCAGGCAGCCTCCACAAGTGGAGTTCGGCTCCTCAGGAAAACTACTGGACTGGTAAATACATGAAAATACGTTGCTTCTTGCAAACAGATGCATTATTAACCAGAGTAATTTCATCAATTACGTCTGGTATTAAAACATGCTCTAAACAACTTCTTTGCCAGAAGCATTTTTCTCCATTTGCTGTTATCTTTGAGCATATGTCATCGTCCCTCGTGATGTTGCGCATGATGTCGTATCCTAACAGCAGATGTACATTTTAATCCCACTTCATGTGCCACCTCAAAGTCCATCTGCACTTAACGAGTGAAGTGTATGAGCCACCGGTGTGTGAATCTCAAGCCTGTCAAGGACTGAAATAATTGAATGCTTCATTATGTGCCGCAACACTTTTAGGCTGCTGAGCCCAAGAAGGTGACCCCAACCCCACCTGCAGCAGCGGAGGCAGCTCAAGCAGTTAAAGCCAAGGAGGAACCTAAAGTGGCAGCCAAGTCTTCAGAGCAAGCTGCAGATAACAAACCAGCCTCTGTGCCTTCCCAAGCTGGCGATGATGCAGCCAGTGTGCCCAAAAAACTGGAAAAGAGGAACTCCATTCAGCTATTCTTTAAAAATCTGGTAAGAAGAACATTACTTTCCCCAGATATATACATTAGAAACATGCACAATATCCTTATCACTGCATAGTGCAAAGTATTTTTGTATTATCCCCACTAGATGGCAGCAGACACTTAAGGTGTAGGCTCCACATTACTGAAAACCAAGCGGACTGATATAACACATCTGGAAATGCAGTTTAGTTATAGGACAGTTACGGTTACTTAAATGTAACAAATTTAGTCAGAGTCCAGTTTAATACATTTGATGCCTGTGAAAGAAATTAATAAAGTTTTTGTTTAACTAAAAAAACAATTAAAGCTTATAAAAGACAAAAATTAAATAAAAATAGATATTGAACGAGTTGCATTTTCTAAAGACACTGCAACAAAATGTACCATTTTCTCCCTGCAAACTGTAGACTCAGAAACGTCCTTCTACAGACGCCGGAGTCCAGACAGAGCCACTGACCGCTGCTCAAGGAGCTGAGAAAGCCAAATGAGACCAGAAGCAACCCTTACGTTTTCCTGTACAGTCTCCTTCCCTCCTTCTCACTTGTACTCAGTCCTTCTTTTTCTCTCTTATCACCTTCTTGAATCCCCTGAGTTACTTTGATTACTTTGTTTTTTAATTGTTACTGCTTAAAAGTCACAATAGCAAAGGTAAGGTTTTGGAAGAATAAAGGAAAGTGGACAGAACAGTTAGCAGGGAGTTGAACTTGTGGAGATTTAAAATGGTCAGAGGTTGTTTGGACATATTTTTTGTCACATAAATGTGACATTTTCTACAGACGTTTAAAATGACTTTTCTCTGTTTTGCAATCTAACATACTGGGCTTATGCAATATATAGTGCCATGCTTTGCCTTGAACAACTATTTTGTGTTAAATCGATAAAACTCAATGTCATATAGGTTCTATTTTTACACTTCACACCAGAGAATTCACGCAGTTAAGGTAATGCAGTGGTTAACATGAAGGACGTAGATATGAGTCATAGAAATGCTCTTAATGGAGCTGGTCTAAGGAGTATTAAAGTTTATATAGCAGAGTGTGCTTACAGATTTTTGAACTCTATGCAAGTTATATGTGGACTCAAACAAAAAGGTACATGCCAGAACAGCTATCTTTTAGCTTATATGGGACATCACAATCTCTACTGATCTTTGGGGAACTGATTGTAAATACTCAACAAATGCTTAAAAATGCATCCGAGGTATTGAAACAGTGTCTTTGTGCAAATGTGTCCTTGTGGTATGCTCTGCATTACTCATAAATCACAACCGAGAAGCTTTTATTTTGATTTTAGCACTTTGTCTCGTGTCAACTAACAAAAGTTTTCCAGTGTAAGTAAACTGTGTCAGGCGTATGTGCAATTAATGTGACGCTGTAGTTTGTCGTTATGTAGTGTGTATGTGAAACTTGAGCTATCCTGAAGACAATAAATGCAAATAAATATACCACATGCCTGTTTTGCTTCAGAGTTTTCATTTTTAATGTAAGCTATAAAAGCATGAGGAGTGTTATCAAGAATAATTGGATGTTCCAGCAATTTAAAAAACAAAGAAGAAGATGACCAGGCAAGTCTGGCCAAAAAATAAATAAATAAAAGATGCCTCTGTTCATGAGCAATGTCATAGCAACCATTTTTATGCATATAAGAGTGCAGCAAAGGTGTAGCGTATCCCGTTACACCCAATCTGGGTGTTAAACCAAATACTGTAAGTCTGACTCATGTTCATAAAGATGTCTGACAAATCAAAGGAAAAACCTGATCCAATGACCCCTTTGGTGAGAGGATCTGGTGGTTGCATGGCAACATTTTTATATAGGGCAGAGACAGTGCAAATCATTATAAGATTATGGGGAGCCATCTTATCCCTTTATTATGATTAAATGCTTCTGTTGGGAGTGGCCTCTCCCAAGATGGCACCTCGAGCCACAAGTATGTACAAGAATTCAAATCGCATTCTGTGGCCTTCGCAGTCAGCAGATCGTTTTCCATTTGAATGAGTGGTCTAACATGCTAGACAGCTAGCTAACACGCTGCCATGGTCAAAAAAACAAGTTAGGGAGTGTGTTTTGGAAATGGTTTTCCTTTTTTGTTTGTTTTTCCTTTAATTTGTCACACACTTGTATATATTTGTAATGCCAACAAATAAATGTTTGTTGACTGGAGAAAAAGCAAATTAACCAGAGTAGAGGTCATATTTTTTATTTTAGACAGACAGCTGGCTGTTGGACATTACTGCTGAATTTTAGTGTCTGTGAGGCGTACCTTGGAGATAAAAAATGTAAAATAAGATCTAAGGAATTTGATATTTCAGGTAAAGGAAGACCTCAAATCATCTTCTCCTTTTATGATGTAATTTCCATGATTGATGGCGTAGTGTGCAGTCTCTGGAAGGATGTGTTTTAGATAGAAGTGTCTGAGAACCACTATTCACCCACCATTAAGTGATGAGTCGCAGCCCCCGAAGGCATAACTCACACTGCTCCTTTGTTATCAATGAGGCACACTATTCTTGTATTACTGTCTATAATAGGTGTGATCATTTTAAATTGTGCATCAAAGTAATTGCCACGGCACTGAGGGAGAAAAAGTGAGGTACTGCTGCTTGCATAGCTTAAGACATGTGCTCCATTGTCTCTCCTTTCCCTGGAGGAATGTCTCAATTAAGATACACTGTGACGACTTTGCCAGCAGTTTTGTTTATGTGTGAAGAGCTCATTTTCATTAGCAAACAGAGTATAGTGTTGATGAATCTGGGAGTGAGGAATTCTGACTGAGTTTTAATGAGACGGAAGTGAAGAAGAAAGCAAAACTACTCACACATCTCGCTTAGATTACTAAAACTAATTGGAAGAGTGACTAAAAAGATGCCCTTACACAACACTTTAACTGGAAATCACGAGCAACCTTTTGGTCTTTGCTAACAGTTCCAGATGTTTTAAACTTCCGTGTGCAGTTATTTAGAAATCTGCTCAGCCGTTTCTGTATTTAGTGACTTGTCAAATAACAGTGAAGACGATGATAACAGCTGCATGCCCCTACACGCAGCGTTCCAGGAGTGAGAGTTAAGGGAACTCTTTTTCCATACAGTTGGGAAAGTGATTGTGCGTCACAAGGACTAGTCGCTCCCTTTTTTTTTTTTTTTTTGCACAATCACATACGATAATGACCTAAAAAGGCTTATTAATAAAGAGATAGTTCCCAAGTATGGATTTAACAATGCATGGACTGTACACAGTGCAGCAGATTTTCTCAGCCACCATGTTGCTGCAGTTCATCCTAGGACAATGCATGTGACTGTGTGAATGCACTGAGCTCAGAGGGGGTGAAACAGGGGAATAGTGGGAGGAGAGGCCTGATAGGAGACCTCCTGTCAGCACTAATGCGCATCATGGCAGTGCTTGCTAGTAATATGGAATATGAGAGGTTAAAACTATTCTGGGTACTAATGAAAAGAAAAAAGAAAACCGTCATAACCGGTTCTGATCCCTTCACAAACTGATGGAATTTTTTTTTTTTTACCTATAAGGAAAAAGCAAGCTAAATATCTCAATGTGTTCCCCCTGCAGTGCTTACGGGGACAACACATGCATGTGCGTGTCTGTTAGGGAAGTTTTGTAACGCGGATGCTACCAACTGTGTCTTTACATTTTTTGTTTGTTTGTTTTAGCCTTTTGAGCAGAAAATTAGATTATACTGCTGTAGGGATGCAAATGAGTGACGTAATCATGATCTGCCTTCAACTGATAGATAAGTGTTCATCTTAAGAACAAGTATACAGGCATACATTTAGACAAAAACACTTTAGCTTCTGTTTTTACACTTGGATACATCAAACTTTGTTCTAAGTTGGTAGAATCTGAGCACATTGTTACAGCTTTGGGATCATTTTGAGAGTAGAGATAATAAAAGATGCTCTTTACATGTTATTATGTGTGCTTAACTTGCTAGAATCTTGGGAATGTGCGCAAATACCACAGCTGTTGTATGTCCAGGCTGCTAAGCTGGTTTTGCTTAGTTTTGTAAACAGAACAAATCAGTTTCAGTTTTAGGTGTGGTGCTCATAACGTATAATTTTATAGAAGAGATCAAGCATTGCAGTCTGAATGATAAGAGACTGCCATCATTATAACTAATAACAAGAGAGTGTTACGTTTGCAAATACATAGGTCACTATTACCATAATTTAAAAAGATAAAATTCTTTGCTTTTTTTTATCATTTGTATATATTTTTCCTGCACAGTTAATCAACAAATAATGTATATCCTTTGTGTCTTTTATATGTGTAACTGTCATTTATGCACTTCACTGAGAGGTCATAGTGAAACAAAGAAAGGTCAGGAAAAAAAAAGTCGTCAAAAGAGGTCACGCAGACAGCGGGGCACTAGCAGCAGGACAAAGAGACACTTCCTTCACCCAGTTTCTACAGTTTCTACACAGAAAAGACGGGTACTGTTTTCAGTATGAACTGTGAGAATTTCTGTTTGGCCACTGATACTTTTATGATCAACAGAACACAACAGCTGGTAGAACTGAATAAACGTTCGGGGTGATAAAGAAGCTTACGTATTATCAGTGTCTTTCAGAAGCGACACCAGGATTATGAAAGAACTCAGGCTGTGAATCTGAAGGAGAACAATGCGGTCAGCTGCTCCTGACACGTCAAGACAAAAAACAAGCCATCACAGCCTTCCCCGAGTCGCTGATCCAATTCCTGTTAGGATGTCTGCCCGCAGAATACATTATAATTCTCTAAAGTACTGAGCTTTTTTCTTACAGATACCCCTTCTTTAATTAGATTTAACTGCTTTTAGCTAAATGTTTTAATAAAGAAACTATCTGAGATAATGACTTGAAAAAAATCTATTAGCATAATGTCAAACAATAGCACAGAGTTAATTAAATCAGTTAAAAGTAAACAATGCTCGGCCACTTGTTGCTGTCATTGCCACTACAGATGATGAATGCTATTTAAATTATCATAGTAAATCAATGATAAAAGTTGCAGCCAGCTAAAGATATATTTGTAGGATTAGACACAAACAACCACTGCCTTAAGATAAAAGGCATTTCCCGTGATGGGCTACAACATCTTTTGGCAATTTCATCATCCTGAGGAATGATACTGCTGCTTCAGACTGATAGCTTTTCACAGAGGCTTTGTGGTTGCTGAACAATAGGAAATGACCGGGAGGCCTCGATGTGTCACATGTGGTGCCTTTGATTAACATACTAGCCTTGTTTGCAACAGGATCTCGGGGGAAGGCACGAGTACCTATAACTGAATCGTAGCACTGCGAGGGGAGAAAGTGTTTTTAGTTTAGGGTAAGCTGCCTATGTAAATGAGTCTTACTAAAGAAAAAAATATGTGTTTTTTAAATCAGTGAGCTGAGTTATTTATTAAGACAAAATAGAAATAAAAATAAGTTCACTGGTATCCTTGGAATGAGTGCAATTATCAAATCCACTGTTCAAACCAAACATTTTTATTAAGCATGTTTGCTAGGCTGGAAAACCACATGTTTATTTCATTATGAGAACAATATTGGTTCAACCTGTTTGGTGACAGCAAATGCTTGACAACAGCTTGTAATATAGGCAAAAGAGCAGGCTGCTTACAGCCAATCCTTGGCTCATGTAAGAGCCATAGCTTAAGTAAATCGAGCACTCCAGTCTTTGTTCACTGTTTTTCAACTGGGAGTGGTTACTGATAAAGTTTTGTTTTCTTCCAGACATTGCTGCCATTCTGGGGGGAGGTAGAGTGGGTCTGCATAATGAGTGTACACTGAAGTCAGTTGAATATCTTCATTGACTGATTAAGTGCCCATCAGTGTCTCTGCTTTTAAGAGTGGAGGAGGGGTTGATTTTACATAGGAGGGTGTGGAGGCTACTGTAGGTGAAGGTCTTTATCTCACAAGCACCAGTCTATTAATCTTAGGTGATTACACAATCCAACAGTAAATGTGTGCTGATTCTCTATTATTATTAACAGCAATATAGTATGTAACTAAAAGTTAAGGTTTTTCCTTCCATTTTTCTGTAAGATCAAATGTGTTTACACGCACCATCTCATGGCTTTGTCAGAGGTATGTTTTGGGTGGCAACAACTCATATGGGATATAAAAGTGGGCTGTGCGCCTTGGTACGTTTTTGTGTCACCATATAGGAAGAACTTGAAATTTCTCATGACTCAACCAACCTGCTTCTGCAAAAAGAAAAAAAAAAGCCTCATGTAACTGTGAAAAGTTTGAGGCACCCCTCCCCCAGCTCCACATGGTAGCTGGTGCATGACGTGCTGACTGGCTGCACTTTTAGGTAACTTCTTAAAATGCAGCGTACACATCAAAGAGTGTTATATGGCGTCTATTCAGCGCACTCACTCTTACTCCGTGGAAGTTTAAAGCATCGTTAGACACATGATTGAACCGCTCGAAAAGCAAAGCGTGACAACAGACTTCACTGTAAGCGAATACGACTCTAATATTGGCCGTTTGAAGCACAAATGAAGCAGCTTACACATCTAATAGTGAAAACATTGGGAATAAAAATAAAAAATAAAAACCTCACATGTGATAACGTGTAAGAAGCTCATTGTGGGCTAGAACAGTCAAATAAAATATGCCCCCATGCTTTATTGGCGTGTATGAGATAAGATGATTATCTGCACTAATCCCTCTCTGTTATACGTGACCACGTGATTGCCCTTTTTTGTGGTGGTGGTGGGGGGGGGGGGGGGGCTGCCGTGCACGCGCCCCATCTTCCCCTTGAGAAAAAGTTGAGAGCGCGCGCCCCGGATTTCAACAGCTGCAGCAGGGAGGACTCGCCAAGTCGAACAAATATGATTCAAATTCAAACAATTGAATAGGTGAGCTGTCCACCAGCGGCAACGCGTTGTGTGAAATGAAGAAGCAGACTCGAGCAAACACCCGAATTCCCTGAATTCAGTCGCTCGTAGTATCAGTATCAATATTAATCCGGAAATTCTGAGTTGGTAGGTATTGTTTGGTGAGTTTCTACAGTTTGCTCGAAGTCGAGGCAACAGAAAGTGTTGTTTGCTAACGTTGCTGTCGTTAAGAATGACCGAGGCTATGGGAGTAAAACTAGTTAGCGTTTTGTTATGCCACTCTCTCAATCTGGGTGAACTTTTGAAAGTGGCGTTGGAAAACAAACCGTAGGGGACAGCGTAAGTAGACACACACATTAAAAAAAAAGTCAGGTCGATAATGTTCTTTTTGTACCACAGTGTTGTCATGAAATAACGTCGTCGCCACTCGAGACGGGTTTGTGTCTGGATGTGTTGATTTAAAATTCAGTCTTCCTCAGTCACAGACGCGGACAGGGCTGATAATTGATCTGAGTGTTTCCAAAATGAGTAACGAAGCCCTCGTGCTCGGCTTATGATGCACATATAGAAACGTAATAGCCAGTCTGTTAAATGCACCGACTTTTATTGACGTTAGCTGGAAGTTCTCAACTGTTAACTTCGAGCATCGCCTCCGAGGTAAAATTACGTTCAAACCGGAGCTTTGCTTTCTTGAATAAGAAGGTGGCTAACGTTAACGCTTGCCTCCCGAAGCATGTGTGTACTTCAGAAAACCACACAGGATCATTAAGAGTTTCCTGTGCTCACCTGGTCTAAAGCAAAAGTACCACACAGCAAACTAATTCCAGATAAATTGGTTATGAATAGCGTTGATGTATAAAAACTATATATATGTGTGTGCATGTATTATATAAAACTGAAAATAAAACCATTTATCATTGGTTTGAATGACTTGAAACCTACAGTTGGGACTTCCCCTTTATCCACTCATTTGTGGGTTTTTTGTTTTGTAGCCATATACTGAAAACTTGATTTAAAGGTAACAGTTAAAAATGTGTGAAAAGGGGGAGGGTCTTTGATGCTACAGTAGACAGCTATAGGTATTGCTGGTGCCACAGCCTTGATTAGCATTTTGCATGGGCCTTGAGCATTTTGTCCTTGCTGAACCAGTTACTCCACTTCTCCACCAATCAAAGCGCTAAGCAGTTCGAGCCTTCCCCAACATAAGCAGTTCAGTATACAAGCTGAAACCACTACACAGAGAAAAACCACAGTGTCTTTTGTCACTGATGCCTGGAGAAAAGGATATGCTGGGATTTGTGAGTAAAGATTTTAGAGTTTTCAAAAATAGTTTAACAACTTGAAATTCTTAGACTTTTGCTGGGATGTTGCTTTTTATGTTGTTGACTATAAGTTAATCTATGTCTGTAGATTGTATTTTAACACTACATGTTTAGTATGATTAGTTAAAGTAGTTGTCGTGTTTAGTTAGAAACAAAAGAGAAGCAAAGGTTTGTTACATTTAGGGGAAAAAATGAAAAAAAAAAACAATGACCTTACTTAATCATCTTACTTTCTAGAAGTATATATTCTAAGTTAATGTTAGTCATATTAAGCTTAGACACAGAGGCATAAATTCTAAATTAATTTAAATAATGTTTGCGAGCACAAAAAAAGGCTGTTTTGTCATTGGCCTGCACATAGAGGAAATGACTTGTCTGTGTAGTTGATTGCTAAAAAAGATACATTTCCTGTTTCAGTGTAAGGAAAGGCAATTCTCTAGTGTTTTTTCAAACAGATTTTATGATAACTTAGGTGTTTCAGTTACCTGATCCTGTTTTGATTTTTGAGCAAAGCCTAAAAAAAACACTTTTCCCATTCTTTACAGGCTCCTAATAATCTGGACCGCTTGTAAAACATTAGGAGAAAATGCCGACTCATTCATTGCTGCCGTTTGTAAATAGCCCAGATGGACTCGCCCAAGATTTTCTTATTAGTAAAGATGCAAGCATCCCAGGGTTGGGCTCTAGCATGACGCCACACACTACTTACCCAGAAAAGACTGAGTTGCAAAATGAAGAAAGTGCACCGCTGTACTGTATGTTCTGCGAGGAGACTTTCGCTCATCAGGATGAGCTTGGCCCCCACGTGTTAACACAGCACCCCACCACATTCTCCGAGCCAACTGTGCTTCGGGTTGAAGCAGAATTCAGGATCCCAGGAGAGAGACACCGGGCCAAACAAAGCAGCCTTCCTGCCGAAAAAGACGAGGTTCACAGCTGTATCCTGTGTGGTCACTTATCCCAAGATGGCAGCGAGCTTGAGGCCCACATGAGAAAGCACAAGGACTACTTTACTTATTGTTGCAATTTTTGTGGGCGTCGGTTTAGAGAGCACTGGTTCCTCAAGAACCACATGAAGATGCATGTAAAAGCAGGAGCAAAGAACAAGACCCAGCAAGACCCAGAGAGCCCAATCACAATTAATGGTATCATCCAAGAGCCTCCATCAGAGCCTGTAGGCACCGCATACAAAATGTGCATGGTTTGTGGGTTTTTCTTCCCTGACCATGATAGTTTGGTTGAACACAGTAAAATGCATAATCGAGAGGCACAGCCTGGAAAAGATAAAAGCAAGGATAAGATGGGTGATACTAATGAACCCACTGCCAACCAGGATTCATTTCTTCAGTTCCTAAACCTTCAGCCTCGCCCCGCAGGAAAGGATGTGGAACCTGTGAGATCATCAAAATGGATTCCCCAGCTAGATCCTGTCAACACCTATCAGGCCTGGCAGCTTGCTACGAAAGGCAAGATCGCAGTTGGGCCTAATAATACAAAAGATGTTGGCCAGGAAAACAGCACGGACAATGACGAATCTGGCTCTGACAAGGATGAGTTGAATAATATTTGGACTGAGGGCCAAGGAGACAAGGCTGTGAAAGAAGTTGGGAGAGAGCTCCGGTCTCAGCAACAGGCCCCTGTTAAAAGCCCAGACCCACAGCGAAGGTCTCCAGTTCAGAAAGATAAGGACAAACAAAGGCCAACGACTTGTGAGGAATGTCAAAGAAATTTCAGGACCTACCACCAGCTGGTGCTCCACTCCAGGGTCCACAAGCGTGAGAGAGGAGGTGAAGAAAGTCCAACCTCTTCTGTTGATGGCAAGCTTTCAAGAGCAGGCTCACTGGAAAATACAGAGGAAGGGTCTGAGGAGGGCATGGAGGAAAACTTGGGTTCAGGTAAGTCTGTTTTTCTGTATACACTCAGATTATCTTATCTGTGGTGTAGTAATTTGTTTGTTACCAAGGGCTCCCTCTGCTGAGGGGACGGATAATAACACATGCCTTTTGTGGCCATTGTTCTGTCCTTTGTGTGTTGTGTTAATATTTAGATTTTTGTTTGTTTTCAAAGGTGAAGATGGATTTGACCGATCCAATGGCAGATCAAAAGACTGCAGTTACTGTGGCAAAACCTTCAGATCCAGCTACTACCTCACCGTTCATTTGAGGACTCACACAGGTAAATTCACGACAAATGATTATAAATTATCCTAAAAATAAACTGACCTTAAACTCTGACTTATGTTATGTTTATGCAAAACTATTTGTTCCAGGTGAGAAACCATTTAAGTGTGCTTACTGCGAGTACGCTGCGGCCCAGAAAACTTCGCTGAAATATCACCTGGATCGACGCCACAAGGATAAGCCCTACGTCGAGATCCCCAGCAGACCTGTGCCTTTAGTGCCCTCACCCAGTGATGGAAAAAATGAAAACAATGCTGAAAATCCTGTGCCAAAGAAATCCTGTGTCCCTCCAGCCAGGCCGTGCATCGATGAAACACCAGAAAGCGGACTGGATAGTGTCGATGGCAAGCTTGGCAAGCCACTTGTCCAAGTAAATGCTGTGCCTGCCTGCTCTCCGGAAGATGATGTGCTCGCCAATTGCTCTGTGCCTGTTAACCTGAAGAAAAAAAGGGAGGAGGTTCAAGAAGAGAACTGTGAGGCCCCATTAAATCTGTCCATAAAAGTCTCTGTCTCTACACCTGTCAGTGTTGAACCAAGAAATGGTATTGTTCCAATTGCCTGCCCATTTTGTGCTTATAAAACCATCTACCCAGAAGTTCTGATTATGCATAAAAAGCTCTCTCACAAAGACAAGTCAAACAGCACCAAAAAGAATGGGTTTGGAGGCAATTTAAGTGAAAGTCGTCATACGGGTTGCCCGCCTGCCCTCAATGGGAAAGATGTTTCCTCAGTTCTGATCACTGAGAGGATCTTCCCTCGCCGAACCAAATCTCCACCTCCCCAACCTGCAAAACCTCAAGAAAAAATACCTGTTAACCTACCGCACGTTCCTAAGCCATCCCCTGTCCATGCACCCATAAAAGATGTCCAGGAGACCCAGCGTTACAGGCAGAGCATCGACTCACATCCCAGTCAGGAATCCTCCAGGTATACAGAGCTAATGAGAAAAAACAGCACAACCAACAAATATATCATGGACAGAGTGGGCATCGGCGATCGGAGCTACCCAGTACGAAGCGGTGTCCTTTGGCACACAGATGCCGCCAGGCTCTGCCTATCCAGCCGATTTGGAAGCCTCCCCCAGATGGACTTTGGCGAGCCATCCAGCAAGCGATTAAAGTTTTCTGTGCCTACAAACAGGGATGCTGAGGTTGGCGAGAAGGCTGCTTTTAGAGGGCCACCAGCAGATGGATCTAACAGGATGTTTACTAAAAGAACTGTGAAACCCACACAGCAAGGGTCATGTCCACCCACAGCTTCTGAGGTTTCTGTTTTGGGTCCGGTAAAGAATGCACCTACGACTATTGGAGGCAGTTTGGAGTCTGAGTGGAGCATGATGAACCTTCTCCGCTCCTATCCACCCCATGACCTGGCATCTCTCTATCACACCAACCCAGCAAACCCCAGTCATGTAGGACTAGTCAACCCAGGAGCAGGTAAGCATTAGACTTGCAGTTTCAGTAGAGTGACATATACATTTCTTTGGATATTTGGCTATTTTGTATCTGCATATTCTGATACTTTGAAGAGTTAAAGTTTTTTTGTTTGTTTGTTTTCTCAGGGGGCAGAAGTGTGCTGTTCCAACATCTGCCCAGTCTACCCAGCCTGCAAAGAAGAGATGTTTCAGGCCCATTCCCCAGTCAACGCTGTGGGGCCACTGACAAAAGCGCCTAAAATAAAAAGAAACAAAGAAAAGGTTAAAAACTTTCATTTAAAATAAACCTGACGAGAATTTTTGAAAATGACATTGAACTTCATATAGTTGAATCAAATCATTTTTTTGTCCTTCTCGATGTAAACAGTGCTGCTGCCTTATTTTGGAGAATTTCTAGAAACGTTGTTTAATGTACATATTTAGAAAGAGAGGTAGTTTATGCTCACAGTGTGCTTATCCTCTTAATTTAATGTTTCTTTTTCAACAGAAAAACATTTGTGTTATATGGACATTTCAGGGCTACAGTTTCAGCAGAAGTTCTTTTTTTGAATGCGAAGATGCAGATAACCTTTGGGGTTTTTTTTGTATATAGTCCACTGGTGTGCACTGTAATATTTCTTTTTGAGACTGTTGATAAATCTGTACATGACCCACACTAATATTCCAGAGTCTGTCTTAGCTGTAAAAGTTGTGTGTGTGTGGGATGGCAAAATCTCTCTACATAAACTGTGTTAAGCTAAAACCTAAGAAAAACCTGTGTGGGGGAAAAAAATGCTGCTCTGTGTAATTGCTGCACTGCACTGGATGGTGGGGAGTTTCTGTCGGATAACTTGATGGCTTCGGCCCAGTTGTTTACAAACAGGCCACAGCAGCGAGCTCTGCTGTGTGTTTCAAGTTCTACCTCAAGTTGTGCTCTGAAGGCTTATTTTTGTAAAGCCTTTGAAGCTATCATGTTAGCTGAGCCTATATACCTACTTCGACCAGAGACTGGTGTTTTGAGTTGTAGTAATAGTAGTAGTACATGGACAAGTGACCCGTGACGTTTGACATCTATAAAACACCACAGGAAGCTCAAGCTCATTTGGTGACACTGGACTACTACTGCTGCTACTGTTTTTTTTTTACCTATACCACAATTTGGGCTGTACATTAATTTTGATGAACCCGCTATCTACAAGTATTGTTATTTTCCTTCTTGAAAAGCAAAAAGGTGCTTAAGTGGTGCCTCACATCCGTCAGCTGTAAAATGTACCAGATTGTGTGTAATTGTCTGGGTTTGTGTGAAATAGTCATTCAGTGTTATTTGGTTACTGCACATTTAGCCGCTCGCATGTTCGGGAGTTTGCTTTTGCTATGCAAAGTCTTGAAAGTGTTTCTTTTGTCAAGGGGCAGCAGTCACTGCCAACTGGATGTCAAGGAGCGTTTAAGGTGTCGTGATTGTGCAGTTTTAGGGGAGACAAAAAATGCAAAAGCAGCGATGTTGATTGCTCCAATTAACTTAATGCTAAAGAGGGAAGAAAGACTCAGGTTAATTCAATTTTACATGCTGGGTAGTGTTTGGTATAATTTTGAAAAACCTTTTTTAAATTATTTCTTTTTTTTGTTTGGTGTTCACATTATTGGTGTGTTTATATATTGTTAAGTATTGTTTTGAAATTTTTGATGGCACGTTTCAACAATAAAGTGAGAGGCGAAGAACGAAAGTATATAGGTGTTGTATTTAAGCTGAACCATAATGAACCTAGGATCACCTTTCTTAACCTCCTGAGACCCGTTTTTCTAATCTCTCCTAGCTATTTAGGATTAGTTGGACCTGATTAGACTTGTCCCCATAGAGGACAATGGTTTTATATTACAGCATAACATGGCATGGTCGCAATTGATTAAAAAATATAAAAACGCAGAATATAAAAGTATAAGGTGCGAAGCAAAATGTAATGTTGCCATATGAGGACACAAAGTTAAGAAATAAAGTCATACTTGGTTACAGTGTAGCACATTTTTCACGGACTCAAGGCACCAATTATACAGCTATGTTCATAGCATCTGGGGGATGTAGGGTAAGGACCTCCAGCTATATTATAAAATATATATATGCTTATATATGCATATATTTAGCAATATACCGAAACCAAGAGATGCAGTGGTCCACGGTCATAACAATAATCTGCTTTCTTTAACTTGCACCTGGGGTTCTAGCTTCCTTTAATGACATCTTTAATACCTGATTACACAGACACAGAGAAAGATAAATTCGGTAATATCTGTTCTAATTAAATCATCAGTGGACTGTAATATTCCAATAACTCGATTACTATTTCAGGCTATTAGTCCTCCAGAATCTCCAAATATAGGCAACAAGTATTGGTTTTCTTATGTTATATTACAACATAAGAAAACAATTTTTTGTTGGAGTATTTGTGATTAGTAAACTGTGTTTAGTTTTTGCATTTGACAGCAGATTATGTAGGCTATACTCGACTTTTCAATCAATTACTCCAATCGACCACTAGAGAGCAGTATTTACAAAGTCAAGATTATAGTCTCGTTAGATTCAGGTTTCACAGCCTTAAAACGTCCAGACCTTTGTAGTGCATTTACCTTTTATAAAACTTCACACCTTGACCACACTGAGAATAGAATTAATAAAATCATACTGTCAGTTACATACTGCTATAAGCCCTAATACTGAATAGTTCTTAAAATAGACGATATTGTATTCACTTTAAATGTTTACATAAATAAAAAAATAAACAAAAACGCATGCACTCCTCTGTTTAGCTGTAAACCTGTAGTGAGAAGAATGCCACGCTTGGGGATACACCTGTAATTGATGATGTCACACAGGTGTTGCACATTAGTTATCAAACACAACACATCTGCCATGACATCATTGATTGTAATTGAATGACTCAAACAGCAGTGCACCCAGATTATATTCCCCGAACATCAAGTCCTTAAGAAAAGAAAACTGCTTCAGAGAAGTTGGTTAATAGCTTCTACATCTGCAGAGACATCAGCGCACTATTGTTTCACATCTATAAAAGCAGAAGACTGACAAAACCCATCACTGCTTTTCATTCTGTAAACAAGAAAGGACAATCTTCAGCACATTGAACACTTTAAACTTTGATTTTTTTTTATTTTTTTTTGCCCCCCTCCTCCCCTTTTGAGTAGACCACATCTGTTTGCTGTCTGTTCCCCTGGGCCAGCACTGTGTAATCTATTGCATTAGCTCACATTAGTGCATATCGCCCATGGGCCTTGGTAATCACAAACGCAAAATGAGCATTTCACTTAGCATCACCCTCATATTCCCTCACACTGTGGCAAACTTAGTGCAAACGCTTGGCAGAGAACGCAAGTCGACAACAGCTTATGACATCCATCCCGTTACACTCGATCCCCGTGTCCAGAATGCTGCGAGGGCTTTCATGTCAAAAGCTCCTTTAATAGGCAAAGATACATGTTGAATTTTCCTTCTGTTTACTTCCTCTTCTGTATTGTTTCTTTGTGATTTGGAGCCCTCGAGAAACGTCATTTCTGAGCGTTCCTGCCAGAATTTTTGTCTTTACCATAACATATGTGTTCGTGTTTTGCAGGCCTTTCATGATACTGCACCCTTTGTATGGTCTACATTAAAGATGCAATGATGCAGTGTCACGAAAGAAGGTCTAAAGGCCTAAAATAATGTTGCTTTAATAAAACAATTTAGGAGAGTAACAGGGATCAAGGACACAATGCTTCACTCAGGTTAGTTACAGAAAACAGATTTCAGTGAAGTTATTAGAACACAGGCTTTTATTTAATCCACAAACGCTGCGATTTTTCCAGTTATGCACAGACCCAAGAAAATACCCACGTTTCAGGCAAATTCACCCGGGATTGCTCTGGTTCATAATTCTTTGGCATAAAACACCTGATGTCTTCACGGCTTCTTATCAAGTTTTTTTCATCACATTAGCTTTTGTGTGATAAGGATTCCCACAGCAGCCATTTTATTGCACAAGTCAACACACAAATGGCATTTTATGCTTGCATTGCTCCTCATTCATCTGTTCAGAGTGTTTGGTTTTACAAGAGGTGATGTTTAAGACTTGGATACGTTCATCTGTGACTGACTATGTGCCGAGCAATTTAAACCCTTTTCTCTCCAGTTTTCTCTCTAGACTATCAAATTTCCTACCTCCCTCCATTCTTGCAAAGTAAACTTCATGTTTTTATCCCCCTTAAGTGCTCTCTCCTCTTATTTTCACTCCTTTCATCACTCATAATTGTTGCCTCCAGATTGTCAACTTGCATGAATTAGCAATTGGGCCAACAAAGCAGATATGGTCAATTGTTGAGTATCCTGTCAGAATTTCAGGCTGAAAGTCTGCTCTCGCTGTGATCGCTCATCATCGTCACCCCATTCCTCTGAGGAAGAGGAGCAATGTAATGGTTCCCACAAAAACAGCCCCTGGCCTAAGGAAAGGGATTTGGGTGTCTAGAGACAACAGGGGCCATATGGAGCGGGCTGAGATAGCAAGGCACATGTACAGAATAATGGATGATGTGTCATGTTTCATGTTGCAGGGAAGCCATCAAGAGAGTTGGGTTTGGGAAATCAAAAGGCTCACGTACAGGAAAAGCGACTGTTGGACCATTTAGCATTTTTGTTTATTTTCTGAACGTGTAGGCTTGAAAAATGCGGTGTTCTATTTCCAATGCCTGTGGTCTGCTGATGTTATTTATAACTAAAATAATAATCGTGATTTTTTTTTGGGGGGGGGGCGCTATATGTAGCCCTGTATGCAATATTAAAGCAGATGACCTTACGAGTATAATGAGCCAACCACCTGTTTACTAAAACTAAGAAATATACTCTCTGAAGCTGCGATTCAATTAAGACTAGATTTGTAAAACAGATGAAACCAAATTTGTACACATTGTATTTATCCTGCTTAGTGGGTGGCAATGTCAGACAGGCACTTAATGCTGACAGGAATATTTAATCAAATCATGGTCTCCTGAGGATAAATCACATATACTTTAGTGAGCCCTTTACTTTTCATCTAGCGCCATCAGGAGGCTGATGAGCAGTATTTTGGTTCGGTCTGCACAAAATACCTGCAAATTTGACAAGACCACCAATCTGGGAGCACAGACTGTATATAAATGATGGATGCAATTACTGTGGCAGCACCTTTTGATTGTTTTAAAGTTTAAACATTATGCGTCATGTTGTTATTTTAAAGCCAGGCAAACAGGAGCCACAAGTGATCATATTTGGGGCCCCAAAAGCCTCTAATATGATTTCAGGTAGCTAATGCTAACTTAGCACTGCTCCAATAAGGTGCATCGGTAAACTGAATGATTTCACCATACAGAGACACATACCTAGTAAAAATAAGAGATTTAAATTTCACTGACCAAATCTGAATGTTCTTGACGAGCTGTTAGTATAATCTATCACACAAAAAACCATGTTATTTGTCAAATACATGACACAGAGGTCATACCACAACAGGGTCAAGCTATCATTTTTATTGGTGGAAGTGAAGCTAGCAGACAGCTGTCTGTTACAGCAGTTTGCATCCTCAACCACCTGTTAGTCAAAGTAGCCACGCCCCTAACGTTAACGCTGTAAGTTGTATAATTTACTGGCAGGTGCATAACCTCAGTGAGTTACTATAAAATATAATTTATTACTATAAACAGTGTTTACAGTAACTTTTTTTTCATTTTATTTTGCAAGAATAGAAATCTTGATGTAATTTTATTCAAGGTAAAGTTACTGTAGGTGAAATTACAGTAAGATTAATGTTACTGTAAATGAAACTGCAACTTTTTTTTACTATAATTACTGTAAAGTTACAGTAACTTATAGGCATCCATTACTGGCTAATTACTGTATTTTCATTTATTTTGTTATAGTTTTATAATAGATTTTTTGTAGTTAGCAATAGAAGTGTTTATTTTTTATTTGCATCTCTACCTGTAGGAAAAGACGCTGAAGTTAAGCACTATAAGCCAGCGGTCCCCAACCTTTTTTGCGCTACGGGTCCGTGAGTGGTTTGGTATTGGCCCACGAGAGTTGAGGCTCGGGTGTGAAATTTATGGTTTATGGTTTTTATCATTATTTTTTTTATCGTTTTTATCATTAACTCTGTTTCCCTGGGTGTTTTCCCGTGTGTTATGAATAAATCTTTTTTTTTGGTACCGGTACTGGTTTTATTTTGTTGTATTTATCCACGACACCATAAAGGCCGGTCCGTGAAAATATTGTCGGACATAAACCGGTCCGTGGTGCAAAAAAGGTTAGGGAACGCTGCTATAAGCTATATTTCAAATAAATGAATAAAAACAGTTGTTGAACATTTGAATGCAAGGGCCTACAGAGATTAACCTGCTATTTTGAGCCTTCAGGGACATTCAAAGTTTTTGACCTTTCTGGGAACACATCAGGTGATTTAGTCAAATGTAGTCAAACTTAAGATATTCATTATATATATGTATATATATTCTTTCTTTTGCTTGCCATATGAACTGTTTCCTTCCATGCAAGCAAAGCCTGTAAATGTAATTGGTCAACAAAGCCCAGACTACAGCCAGGCTGCTAACAGAAACCAGAAATCTTGCAGTATCAAAAATCTCGCCCCTTCCCCTGAATTCTGTCTCTCCTTTCATAGGTATCTATATATAGAGATTCATAGCCTT